GATAGAACCAGGAACAGGAAGAGACAGAATGATGGAAACATTAATGACAGGGCAATCTGTCAACACTCAGCGCTAAGACAAATGGCCCAATCTGCGCATGTCACCACTGCATCCTCATGGGGCTATCGCCACTAGTGTCAAGTGGGAGTGTCTGAAAATCCACGATAATCCTATTTCTATAATACTGGACCCTATGTAAACAACCTTTTCCACAAGGTATAGCAAAAGAATAAAATATGCAACTTAGAGCTTCGGTCAGATGAAAGTTGTCTGAGTTGACAGAATAGACTGAAATTTCTCCCTGAGTCCAGATCTGCATTCACTGCAAGTATCACTTAATTTTGCTTTAACTACCACCAGGACTAAATCTGTCACAAATCAATTCTAAAAGTAGACTAAAACATTTCTCAGTTATTTGTAAATTTATTAGGACAAGCCAAAACTTGCCATGACTGCACTTTTAGAAAGAATACAATTTTTTTTTCAATTTTCTCTAAATAAACTGCATGAAACTTGTTAATACCAGAAGAATGTTTCACACCAACAAAAAGCAGATTAAGAAACACTGCCACTGACTTTGCTATCTAGGTTGCTATTAACAGATTTCCTCATCTAAATTAGAAGAATAAAACTAAAACAATCATGCCAGACGTGTACACAGTGAGTAACATTGGCAATTTTCTCTGTGTAGAAATAAAAATTGGATCACCCATCTTTCCAACATAGTGCCAAAGAAATACTATTTGCCAGGAAAGACAATAGTCCCTTAAATTGGTGTGCACATTTCTCTACTGTGCTCTCCCTCTTCCTTCTCTGGGAGTTTCAGTTGATTGTAGCCTGGGGATAAAGCAGCCTTTGTTGGTGCAGCAGACTTGACCCAGAGCGGCCCATGGCTACACATCCTTTAGACGATAAACCTAAAAGAAAAGGAGAAAACCTGGAACTAAAGCAGGCCGTAATAGGCAGAGACACATTCCCAGTGGCCAGCCAGGACAGCTTGTATTGTCTCTGTGTTGTAGCCATTGTATGTTGCCAAAAAACGCTCCGCCAATCCACTCTTCTTCAGCCCGTTCCAGTGAATTTTTATGAATCTATCTTTAGACGCTGGTTTTGTGAATGTTTCCAGGTCTGGCATATTACTGGTCTCTTGGGTGTCAAATGTTTCGACTTGACAGTGTAGTTTCCTAGAGGGAAATCTAGATAATGGTTTTCTCTTAGGCAGATTGATGTAGAGTAAAACTCTTTATTCTTACAAAGGTCTTACTGCTATTAAATGAAACTGTTCAGCAGTGGCAAAGGCTATTTGATTTGAAACTTACATTTGCAGTGGCCAGGGGCTGTCTTAGGGGTCTCTGTAAAATTCTTACTGCTCTCCTTTGGTAGCCCAAATAAAACAATTGTTTTAAAGGGCCCATATTACACTATTTTCTGGTGTATTATAATGTTTCCTCATCAAAAACATACCTGGAGTTGGGTTTTGTTTCATTTGTATGTGTTTAACACACAAACACTGCATATTTAGGCTGAGTTCTTCCTTTCAAACAGTCTGTTCTTTATGATGTCATGTGGTTATACAGGAAGTGCTTCACTGTATTTTTAAACTCCGTTCACCTTCACATGAATCATTTGGATGATTTCAGACCTGGAATTGCCAATCTCTATTGAAGGTAAATGGTAGCTGTTAACTTGAAAACTACCACTACATGACATCACAAGGTGCAATAGAGCATTTTGAGCTTTGGAGATCTACACAGACTAAAAAATTATGATTACTCAATGTGGAAAAACCAACAACACAACTTTGGGTATTTTTTTGATGAGGTAACAACATTCTCACATGGGTTAGAGCTCACAAGAGTCAGTTATTTGTAATATAGGACCTTTTGAGAATAATGATAAATTGGTTGAATATTCTGTAAATAAGGGGAACACAAAATGGTCAAAACACACATATGGTCATTATAAAATGCAAGGTATTGCAAGGTCACAGTTTGGATTAATATAATTTCTCACTGTACTTTCTAAAATTGTGGCTTTTTATATTTTCAGTACAGGCTAATTTTATTACACCCTGGCACTGTTTGGCATTAAAGATTTAGTATTTTATATCTTTTGGCTTTGAAAAACAAGGCTTGTTCTGTAGTGCCAAATTTTCAACATGCACTAGTGTCTGTAGCAGCAAACCCTGCGTACAACTTGCCTTGAGCAGTGTATCTGGTAGCACTGTGTCCAGACCTCCAGCTTCTGTAACCAAGTTAAGAATTGATTGACTACAATTCGCTGAAGGCTACATATTGTACACTGCTGTTTGGAGCTGTACACATAGGTTTCTCCAAATTTAATATTTCTAGTCAAAAACTGAAGAGGAAAACTTTCTTTATGTCTTGAAGCCTGTGTAACTGTCTACGGGAATCTATAGAGGTGATCTATTTGTAATTAGCGTGCTGTACTTCTTTCTATCTGTCTTGCCTCATTGTATAATGCTTTCACTTTATCCTACAAAGATCAATGCATTAAAGTTTCTCTGTATAACTTTTTGGGGGTCCTGCTTGTTTCTAGTGATATGTCATTGCTCTGCTTGAAATGTTCCACCGTATGACATTAAACAGCTATATCTTACAGTTAATTATATTATTAATTTTGACTTGGATAATATGACTTAATGATAACCAAGAATAAAATACATCTCCTCCTAACATGAGATTATATATAAATGGCTAGACAGGAGAATTGCTTTTTTCTAACCCGACAAGGATAATTTGGCTTTGACTAAAATGTCTTGCTGTCTGTCAGATGGACTGCCATAAAATTTGGGCTCACCGTCTCTCCAGAAATAGCTTCTTCACATCATAGCCCTGTGGAAGATGGACTATGTGGACATTCATGGGTCTAAGATAACGACAGAATCAACTGACTGATTAACTGGCTTTGTTCTGCTGCCATTAAAAATGACTTTTATAGTTTCAATAATGATTTGCTGTAGTGAAATAACTTTTTCACCATTAATAACTTATTTTATAACATTCTGGAGGACACCTTTCCATTTTAAGTATATTTCCATCATTTTTTAATTATATAAATTAAGACAACTTTGTCAGTGCCCAATCATGTTTGATCTCAGAAGCAGGGATGGGCCTGGTTAGTACTTAGTTAGGTTTGTTAGGTAAGTAGTGCCACAGCGGAACAGCAGGGGCTTTAGTTCAAACAGCCATTGTGTCCTTAGGCAAGACACTTCACTCTCATTGCTTGTAGTATGAATGTGGTGTGTGGCAGCCTAGCTTCCGGCAATCTATCCCACTTGTGACACCACACTTACCACAGAGAATGGAATTAATAATGCACAGAATTAAAAAGAGACTTTGAGCTTTGAGCTGAAAAGTGCTAAATAAGACTAATTTATTTTTATGATTATTAAATCTGCAAGTTCCCAATAACATTGTTTGTTTACTTTTGGGAGCGCCAAAATCCCAGAACTGCGATTAAAGTTTAATAAGGTACTGATTTTTTAAACTCAAGCAAAACATTGCAACAGCTCCATTCATAATCATTATAAATAAGACATTTACACAGTACATGTCAGTGTTTTATATTTTAATTGTTTTAAGTACATTTATTGCACTATTATAGTACATTCACTTAGTATGTAAAGATTGATCCCATTTGAACACTCAGAAATGATTAATTTCCCTTCATAGACTTCAGGTAGAGCTTCTGTTGTAATTAGTGCAGAGCAGATGCCAGCGCTTGTGGATACAGGCCATGAGTGTATTTAATATGAGCCAGTGGAGGACAGCTGCTGCAGAAGTGTGTCCATGCCCCATCGCTGCAGCCATTAGGATAGATTTCAGGCCTGGCGCTCTGGTCACCAGTGATCTTGAAGTGGGCATGCAGGGGTACAGCAGGGTCAAGGCATGCTTCTGTTACAGTGTCAAATGTGGCTGATTGGAACTGCATGCACATTCATTCTAATCATATTCAACACTGGCTATGATCACATGCAAAACAAAAAGAGGATCATTATCTGATTGGTGAAGTTAACAAATTATTATAATGCCCAATCTGATTTCTTTCTGATACTTCCTCTTGACAAGGAAAAAAACCTGTCTATTGTGACAAAAATGAAAGATGAAGAGTAAGAAAAATGTATCTATTTATTGTGCTTCCAAATATAGTTACAATCCACTAGTTAACCAATACATTCCACCAGGTATTTTTGTGCATGTGAAAACACTATTATTGGGTCTATGTGATTATTCTAGTTATTAGATTTATATTAGCCATGTAAGTGTACCTACTGACTACTTCCTGGTTTGTCTCGCTTACCAACAACATGCCTGACAATATTAGTTACAGAGGGTTCATTTCTGGTCCTGTGATTGAGTGATAAAGTGAGATGGGCTAACAAGCACGTTGCACAGGGAAGATCAGAGTAAAATGAGCTACAGTAATAACATCCTCTGCATGAGACTAGGCCCTGAGAGGCATCATTTAATG